AGACGATCAAAACAAAGCATAGAAAAGGAAAATTGTGAGTTAGAAGGAAAGGATTACTTATTCGTCCAAGTAAATAACGGGAAGAAGATACCAGGGGAATTGGGGCGGGGGGCTGAGTCTTTCAATCCCATTTAACTTTAGACTCTCATTAAGTTGAAGAAAAAAAAAATCCCTGTTTATTGTTAAGATGTACATAATGATAGGCCACCTTCTTATTATATGCTTATAGAATAAAAAGGAATTGTATCTTCGGCACACACTCAACAGGAATAAATTCAATCCACCCCATGGGCCTTAAGACCATTAAGTCATGCTACCCACATTAAATTTATGTAAGTTAAAATTGGGTTTTCTCAAGATTTCCTTCAAATACCAAACCGATGTTATCATTTGTATAAGAATTGATCTTGTCAAATTGGCAGCAGTAATTTAGGAAAATATCTTTAGTTTGTATGTGTAAAATTATCGAATATGACAATAGTAATTATCATAATAACAATAATGATAAAAAATTATAGTAATAACAAGAATAACAACTGTTAATGAGCTTAATAATAATAATAGGATTAGCGATGATAATAATAATATTGATAAAAGTAACAATAATAAATGGCAAAGATAATGGTGTGTTAATACGAATATTGATGATGATAATAATAATGACAATAATAATGGTTATCATCATTATCATTATTTTTATTATCATCGTTATAATTATTGTCATTATAGAAGCATTATTGTCAACATCATTACCATTACCATTATTATGCTAATTATTATTATTTCGTATTATCTTTATTATTGCTATCATTTTTGTTATTATTATTACAATTATCATCATTATTATCATTATCAACATCATTATAGTAACAATAATGAAATATGAATGAGAAATGCAGTGTAAACAAAATGTAACAAGCTCGGAGATGAAAGGAAAAATTACCAGGGACATGAAAGGTGAAACTATAGATTACCAAATATAGGAACAGATGCGGTAAAGAAAAAAAGAAAGAAAGAAAAAGAAAAGAAAAACTAAACGCAACTAAACACAGAAGCAATTTCTGCTGCTCAGGAAAAAGACCCTCTAAAAGAATTATACAAAGAACAATGATTGATAAGTGCAAAATATCTGTTCTTTATTGTCTGGGAGGGAAAAAGTAGAGTATTTTGGACATTATGAGCGGTTGTGAAAGGTTTGCTCTGAAATTATGCACTAAAATATTTGTGAAGGATCCGATATTGGGATTAAATATATGGAATCAACAAAGCCAAGAATCACTTGTAGAATGTCTGGATACGATATGAAAGTAATAATAATAAAGCAAGTAATAATAATGAAAATAATAGTAATGATAATGACAATCATAATAAAAAATATATATAATAATCATAATGATGATTAATAATAATGCTATTAATAATATCCATGATAACGCTAATGATTAAGATATTAAGATAATTATAACAAAAAGTTATGATAACATTTGTAGTGGTAATAATTATTATAATGCTAATAACAATGACAGTGACAATAATATGATAATGACAATAATGATGATGATAACATTCATAAAAATGACAGTACTAGTAGTAAAAATAATTACGATGATAATAATAGCCTTAACAATGAGAATGAGAATAATGTTCGTAATAATGATAACAGTAATGATAATAATCATCATTACTATTATCATTAGTAGTACTACTTCAAGTACAAGTTGTAGTAGTAGTATAATCATCAGGAGCAGCATTATCATCATTATTATTACTATCATCATTATTATTATTATTATCATTATCATTACTATCATTAGTCGTAGTAGTAGCATCATTGTCACCATTATTATCATCATTATTATTATTATTATTATTATTATTATTATCATTATTATTATTATTATTATTATTATTATTATTATTATTATTATTATTATTATTATTATTATTATTATTATTATTATTATCACTATTATCACTATCATTAGTAGTAGTAGTAGTATCATTACTATCATCATTATTAACATTATTATTTTCATTATCATTATTGTTATCATTATTAATATAAGAAGAAGAGAAAGATATTGATAATGATAATAATGGAGATGGAAACAGCAGTCGCTAGTTATAATAATAATAATGATAATGATGGCAATGATAATAAGAATAATAACAATAACGATATGCATAATATAGATTACAGAGTATATCATCATTGATATAGTCATAATCATCATTATGATGAATATAATGATTATAACACTAACATAAAATAATGATGATAGTGATAATCAATAATTATCAATAATAATGATAATATAATAATAATAATGATAATAATAATAACCATAACAATTATAATACTTAACATAATAATAATAATAGTAATAATAATAATAATCATAATAATCATAATAAAAATGATAATAGCAATGATGATAATACTAAAGGTAATAATAATGTAATAATAAAAATCACAAAAATGATAATAATAGATAATAATAATAATAATAAATAAAAACGATGATGATAATAAAAATGAAAATTATAATAAAGATAATAATGATAACAGAACTGATAAAAATAAAGACAATAATTATCACAACAAAGTTGATAATAATAAATATGATGAAAATAATGATAATAACTAAAAGGATAATAATATAAGTAATAATAGAATAACAAAAAGGATAGTAATTACAAAAATAACAATAATAAGAATAACAATAATGATGATGATAGTAATGATGATAATGATAGCAATAATGAAAAAAGTAATATTATCATTAATAATAATAAGAAGAAGAATTGATGACAACAATAGCAATCAAAAATCAAAATCAAAATAACAATGCCAATAATAACAGATATAATAATAATGATGATAATAACAATAATAATAATAATGATAATAATAATAATAATAATAATAATAATAATAATAATAATAATAATAATAATAACAATAAAAATGATAACTAAAATACTATAAAACTATAATAGTAATAACAAGTGATAATGATTATGATAATAATGATCATGACAAAGGTAATACTGCTTCTACTACCACTATTACTGGTACTATTACTACTACTAGTAATGGTAATGGTGATAATATTAACAATAGTAATAATAACAATAACAATAAAAGTGATTATGATAATGATAGCAATAATAATAATAATAATAACAATAATAATAATAGCAATGATGACAATGATAATGATAATAATAAATAGAACAATAATAATGATAATAGTAACGATAATAATAATGATACTGATAATAATGATAATAATAATAATAATAACAATGATAAAAAGGTTAGTAATAATAATTGTTATTATCAAAGTAATAATAATAGTAACAATAATGGAGACAAATAATAAAAGTAAGTTATTAAAGTTATTGATAGTTTTATATATTTTATCATTACCAGTATCCTTATTATTATTATTGTTACTATCATTATAATTACTATTATTATTATTATTATGATTATGATTATCATTATCACTCATCATAATCATAATGCATATCATTATTATTGTTATCGTTATCATTATCATTATTATCAATGTCATCATTATCATTATTGTTGTTATTATTATTAGCATTACCATTGTCATTACCATTATCATTAGTATTAACTTTATCATCACTTTTAACTTTATCATTACTATTATCATTATTATCAATATCATTATCTTTATTATCACTATTATTGTTGACATTACTAATAACAACCTCCACATCATTATCATTATAATTCATAGTATCATGATCTTCGTTACTATCAGTATTATCACTGATATCACTGTTACTAATGCTATACTATATTTTACAATCCTCATCATCACCATTTTCATCACCATTAGTATTTTTTGTATTCTATCGGCATTTTCATTCGCAATATCTTCATTATTATCACAATTTTCATTCGTAATATCTTCATTATTATCACAATTTTCATTCGTAATATCTTCATTATTATCACCATTTTCATTTTCATGATCATTATTATAATTATTGATATCATGTTATTGTTTTTACTATTATTATTATTATTATCATTGTTATTTCTTTATAATTATTATATTTTGTTATCCTTATCTTTATTTCCATTGCTATTTTTATCATTATTTCTATTTTCATTATTATTATCATTACTATTATCATTATCATAATCATTAATATAGTTTTTATCATTATTATCGTAATCACTTTTTCATAAATGTTATTATTATTACTTTCGTTATGGATGCTATTATTATTTTCATTATTACTATTATAATTATGATTATGTCATCATTATCATCATCATGATTATTCACATTATTATTACAAGTACATTTTCATTATTACCAGTATATATATATATATATTTTTTTTTTTTAATTATTATTACCATCATTATCATTAATGTATTTCTATCAATATTAGTATCCTCATTATTACCATCATTATCATTAATGTATTTTTATCAATATTAGTATCCTCATTATTACCATCATTCATTAATGAATTTATCATTAATGATTTTTATCAATATTAGTATCCTCATTATTACCATCATTATCATTATCACCATTACCATTATTATCACCTTCACTATTGTTATCATGATTATCATCATCATCATTATTACAGCCATTATATTTTTTTCCCGTCATCGTTGCCCTCCTTACTGCGCTTTCCACACCGCAATGATAACACAAACCAACGCTAGTGCTAATACAAACCATCCTCCTGGGTGGTGTCTGGCTCGTTGAAGGCTGCTTTCTTTCTCTTAAACACCTTGTTCCCCATTCTGGTTCGTGTCCCCGTGACGCTTCGGCTAAGGAGCGTGTCGGCCTCGTTCAGTCATTAATGCAGATCTTTGGAAAGCCTGAAAATAGATTTTGGTTTGTTAGAAAATGGGTATCTATATACATGTGTATGTGACACACACACACACACACACACACACACACATATATATATATATATATATATATATATATATATATATATATATATATATATATATATATATATATATATATATATATGTATGTATGTATGTATGTATGTATGTATGTATGTATGCATATATGTATATTCATATATACACACATACATATATATATATAAATACATATATATATATATATATATATATATATATATATATATATATATATATATATATATATAATATATATATATACATACATATATGTGTATTTGTGTGTGTGTACATATACATACATACAATAATAATCATTATCATCATCATAAACATGACAATAATAGTATCATAACAATAACAAAAAGAGCAATAATAATAATAGTAATGATATTAACAATAATAATAATAATAATAATATTATTATCATTACCTCCACCAAGGGGGTTAAGTCTTTGAAAGCGTTGGTAGTTAGTTTGTTGGTTGGTGAGCAGGATATCTCAAAAACTTATGAACAGATTTTATGACTTTTTACCAGAGGTGTGTCTTGGCCTAACTTCGATGGTGACGGACTATAATTATCATTACCTTTACTTCCTTCACCAAGGACGTTATGTTTAAGAACTTGTCCAGTATGCTTAGGAAAGAGGTGATTTTAATGTAATTGTTTATATGTGAATATTCTTATTGCATCAGTGCCCAGATTGCTTTGGAGGAGGTTGCTCTATAAGTGCTTCTTTTATGAATATAATAATATTCAGGATAATCTTTTCTTAACCTTTTGAATTATCCTGCCAACCCCCGAACAAACAGACTAACCAACGCAATCAAAACAATAACCATCCTGGTATGAACTGATATCATGTGGCAGATTGAACGCCCTCTCAGCAGAAATTTAAGCCGATGTCACTCAAGATGGGTCTTCCAGCTTGGCATCAACAAAGGAAGAGCCACAGTCCCAGAGAGTGACTTTAAACCTCCAGCCCTGCATCACTATGAATAGTCGTGTGCTTTTTAGGTAAATCAAGTTCACAGGTTCAGTGTCGCATTTTCTTAAGTTATATAAAGAGATGCGGGTGCACTTTATGTTGTTGAATGGTTACATCATTTGCTTAAGAGTGCATTTATTGTATATTGCTTTATGCATTGCAATGAACAAGAAAGTAACGCAGGGAATCCTATACTCATCAGAATCTGACCCTACACACTGTAACTGTAATCTAACATTCATCCGTTTATGTGAATGGTTCAATTTTATTATTTATATCTGTTTTCTTATCATCTAACGTTTAGAAAACGGCAGAAATGCTACTACGGTTTTGCTTTCGCAGACCTGTAAATATTGCCACTATTAGAGGCGCCTGCTGCCGGAAACCAATCAGAGCTTCTTTGCAGTCGCACGCTAGAGGACGACCAATCAGGAAGCGTCTTATCTTTCAAAACAATACGGCGCCTTAGAAGGTTTTGATGTGTGCTGGTGTGCCCCACTCTAAACTCTAGAACTAAATTAAACTTACAGTTTTAAACTTTAAGTTTAGTTTAGTTTGGAGTAGTATAGTTGTTGAGTAGTATATAGAGCATGTAGGCAGTGTAGCATATCGATGTTTTCTTTGTAAAGCTGAAAGTTTACATGCCACAGAAGACAACAGAATGCCAGCGGAAAGGGACCCGACACAGGAAAATTCTTTTAGTTTGCTTTTGCTTTTTGGGAACGGGTTCTCTGTCATTTTAATGTTACTGGCTTATAAAACTTTGGACTGACATAATACAAAACAAAAATTACAATAATAGTAAATGCAACACACGTAAATTCAATCACAAACAATGTTCTTTATTCGGAATTGTAGCAATAGATCAAAGGACGGGATTCATTACTTAAAACATATTACGAAAGGGGGAAAACATATTCTATAAGCTGTATATCTTAACCCCAGACTTTTTCCTTTTTTTTCACCCTGTCGCTCCATTTTTTATTTTTTTTTTTTTTTCTGAAGAAATCCGAGAAGCAACAAATAAAATTAGTGTGACTTTATGTACAAATATTAAATTCTAAGGATAAGGATAAAGTTATGATACAAAAAGAAACTTGGGGCATGTTCGCCGGGAAGGAAAAAAGCTGACAAGACTTAAATGGGCAACAAATCACATGACACATTTCTTATCTGTTCAGTTTTAAATTATCTTGAAAACTAGAATTGTTATGTAATTTTCTCTTTTATCATTTCTATTTCTATTTCTTCTGATTTCTAATACTCAAGTAGTATATAAGTTGTATACATTTACTTATATTAATCCTATCTATTCATACATATCAATTACGTAGTGGTGTCATTCCGTTTCCATTAAAGAGAGAGAGAGAGAGAGAGAGAGAGAGAGAGAGAGAGAGAGAGAGAGAGAGAGAGAGAGAGAGAGAGAGAGAGAGAGAGAGGAGAGAGAGAGAGGAGGACGATGGTGGTCTATTAGCCACCACTCTCCACCAATTAATTTTAAAGCACTAAATACTAAGACTAAACAGCATTTACGAATCACTATGTATGAATGAAGAAAGCATGACC